ACAAATAAATACCCATGCCTCCAAATAATCTCAAGAACTGAAATTCCACTTTATATACACAAATTAAACATCAAAAAACATAAACATAAGATCCACACCTAAAACATAATAAAAAAACGAAATGGGAGAGAAATGGAGTTACATCTTGGAAAGCTTGTTAGGTGCACCACCGGTAACTTTAGCGACGCGAAGAAGAGCGAGTTCAGCTTTGAGATCTTTCAACTGAGACAAAAGATCAGTTTTTGATTTCTGCCTCAATTCATGAACCTTAATCCTCGCTGTTTTTTATTTATAATTTACAAGCAAAAACACGAGAGAGAGAAAACCCATGTTCAGATTCCAAAAAACTAACTAAATATTTGAAGAAAATTCATTGAACAATTTAAAGGTGTATGTTTAGTTACCCATTGCTTGCTTCTTCTGTTCTTCTGAGACTACAGCGGCGGCTTCTCTCAGATAAATCTGGAACCCTAAATTTCGAAGAAGCAAAGGGTTTTTATGGAGATTCACTGGGCCTTAATGGGCTTATTTATTTCTCCTGGTTTAAATAAAATTTGATATTTTGGGCTTAATTTATTAGATTGTCAAATTTCTTAGGGTAAACTATTTTATTTGGTCACTCACATATTATTTAGTTTATGTTTTGGTCAGTCAATTATTTTTAGGGTAAACTATGACTACCAAACTATGGAGTTGGTGTCAATATGACCATTTAACTATTTAATTGGTTCAAATATAGTTACATGTCATTACATTTAACGGGAAGTGCTTACGTGGCAGTTAACAAAATTCATATAATATGTAATTAAAGTTAAAATCAGGACCAAATTGTAATTAATACTTGTACATATTTTAAAAATAAAGTTAAGATTATGACTAAATTGATTGAACGTACAAGTATTGAGGATAAAATATGTAATTATACCAATTAAATAGTTAAATGGTTTGATCAACAATCATTAAAATTTAAGGGTAAACTACATATTTAGTCACATAACTATCACTTTTGTTCTATTTTGGTCACTCAATTATTATTTTTTCAAAATCATGCTTAAAGTTAAGTTTTGCTTCCGTTTTGGTTATTCACTGTTAAAAAATTAAGTGTGGTGTTGATATGTCACCGTAAATAATGCCACGTTATCGTTGAGAAAAAATTAAAGAAAATTATCACGTCAGGAATTATGTTTATTTTTAACGGTGGGTGACCAAAACGTAACGTTAGGAATGTTAAAAACAAATTATAGTTATATGCTAAGTCAAAATCGAAGTGATTGTAGTCTGACTAAATATGTAGTTTACCTAAAATTTAATTGTGAGTTAACATGGCATCTTTTAATTATTTTTTAATATTGATGTGACGTTATCTTTATGACAACGTGTCATCGTCATCATTATTTTTAATAATGAATGATCAAATTATAACGTTAGGTATAATTTAAAAAAATAATTAAATAATCAAAACATAAAGTAAGTAATAGATGGGTGACCCGATAGATAGTTTACTCTTTTTATCATTCTACTTTTCATTAGTTATTGAATATATTTTATAAAATGTAATTTTTATATTAAATATCTTTCTTTGATCTATTTTAGAAGTATGATAAAATCTAATATAAATTAATAATGTTCTAATTTAAAATTAAATAGATGTAATCAATATGTGATTTCAGTGGTTAAAAAAATATTGTTCTTGGATTTAAGCAATTTTATTTGTAGGGTGTCTGCGTTGTTAATGACTAAAAAAATTATCAACAAATACTATTTTATAATGACTGATTATTCTCAACAAATACTAAAAGTTACAAAATGGTCACCCAACTATTCATTGTGTTTTAAATTCATCTTTTTTTCGTAAAAAAAAATTGATGGCAGTTTACGTTGGACGTTAACCTGTTGACTGAGATATAATATAATATGAATCCAGAATCTCAAACGACTTTAATATCTCAGTCATCATGTTAACATCCAGCTCGAATTATAAGTTTGAAATATAATAAATAGTCGGGTGACCATTTTATAACTTTTAATAGTCAAATGACTTAAAAAATAACGTCTTATAATTAAGGCACTTTTTGTAACTTTTAATAATTGAAGCACTTCAAAAAAAACAATTCGATTGACATGCAGCATCTAAGAAATTGTGAGTTCGGGCATGCAATTATCTCTAATATAACAGTTGAGAATAAGTTACATACACAAACACAATACATTCATATCTACACAATGAATCAATCATTATAAAATATAATCGAATTAATAATTAAGATATGGGTAAACTATACAAATAGTCCCCTATGTTTTCGGTTTGACCGACTTTGGTCCCTAATTTAAAAATTAAGCGAGAATAATCCCTAATGTTATCAATACGTCCGATTTTAGTCTGTATCAATCCGTTCAATTTTAGTTCCTCAGCCGTTTTAGGGACTTAAACAAAAGGGGTTAACGAAAATTAATAATCTAGGAATTAAAATCGAACGGATCGATAACGTTATTGATCATTTCCCCTTAATTTTTAAATTGGTGACCAAAGTCAATCAAACCTTAAACATAGGAGACTATCTGCATAGTTTACCCTTAAGATAAACTTAATTTGAAATAATATAAATAAGACACGTATAAGGTGTTCATGATCCGATTTTAACTGAATTAAAATCCATTAACAGAATTAATCGTTTGAACATTCTTACACGTAAACTCAAAAAAATCCACATAAACCTCATCCTACTAAACCAACTGGTTGTTGGTTCACACGAGATAAAATTTAAATCACAATAACTTGGAAAAACACCTACGCACTCAACGCTAAAATATGAATTGAATTGTATTTTGTGGGTTTTTAAAAATTAAAATTGAAATTGGATGATATGAAAATTACGATTTTTTATTCAGTTCAGTTTGGTTCGATTCAGTTGTACAGTTTTTTACTTTTCACCATTTTTTAAACTCAACCTAAAAAAATAAATTTAAATCTTAAATCGAGTACAAATATATAAATCTAAATTTATAAAAAAATATTATTAGTTTTAAAATTTTATTTACTTAAAATTTTCTTATAATAAATTCAAAATGAATTAATTTTGGATACTTATTTTTTAGTTGAATTTTTTATCTCTTTTGACACAGTCCAATTGTCTAATAACCCTCAATCCCTTATTTTAAGTTAGTCCTTAATTTTTTTAATATTTCAATTTCATCCTTAAACTGTGATCCTTATTTTAAATTAGTCTTCATACTTTTAAATATTTCAATTTCATCCCTAAGTTATGACCTCTTTCTAAATTGATCCCAAACTTTTGAATATTCCAGTTTCATCCCAATTCCATTCATATATATAATTAGCTTCAACCATAATTTAACCTAATTTTTTTCAAACATATGATAATACAAAAGGATAAATTACATGTTTAGTACTTAAACTCTCTCTTTTGCTCCGTTTTAGTACCTAAATTGTCATTTTTTTCAAAATCACATCTAACATTTATATTTTATTTCATTTTAGTACCCCGCTGTTAACTTTTGTTTCATTTTTTAGTACCTAAATTTTTTAATGATGGGTACTAAAATGAAACAAAAAGTAAATATTAGGCATGATTTTGAAAAAAGTAAAGTTTAGGTACTAAAATAGAACAAAAGTAATAGTTTAGGTACTCAATATGTACTTTACCCATAAAAAAACCCTTTGTTTAAGTTGTTATGGTGACTCTTTGCTTCATTCCTTTCTTGTACACCTTTCCATGATTGGATAAATTCTACCAAATCAAGTTAAATCAAATCGAATTCCAAATATATTTTTAAATTTTATGAATCAATTTGTTTTAAGTCATTTTAAATAGTGTAGATGAAATTTATATTTAAAATAATAATAATAATTCATTTAAAAAATAATAATATAATTAAAATATAGAATATTTAATCAATTCAAAATATATTTTAAGTTGGATTTATTCATATATTATTGGCTTAATTATAAAATAAGTATCCAAACTATACCATTTTTCTCAAATAGATGCCTAAATTTTTTTGAATCATCCAAGTGCCTAATGCTACAAACGTTACCACTTTGGGTGCTCTGCCGTTAAATTTCTCCATTAAGTAACACATGTCATGCTCTGGTAATTTTAAAAAAATTATTTAAAAATTAAAACTTAAAAATTGAAATTATTTTTTAAAGAACAAAAATTTTGAAACACTTTTAAAAAGCCCCAAAACTTTAAAAACTCTCATTTCAACCCTAAACCCATGCCACTGCCATCCTTTGTTGTCGACAACCCTCCGCCAGACCTCACTTCCACCCAACAATCGATAATCCTATGAAATTGCGATCAATTGATGTGTGTACCCGACTAACTCGAAGTTGTAATTCGTGACCTCACGCAATCCCAACAACCAATCGACACCAAGTAGGGAGACGTATAACTAGGAAGATGGCAAGGAATACGTCGGTGACTATGGCCGGCAAGGACGACATCATCAGTTTAAGGATTTAGGGTTTGAGGCTTTTTTATAATTTAAGATAAATTAGGGTTTTTAAATATTCAATATTATCATAAAGTGACATGTCCATTAAAACTATGAGGTTTCGTTCCTGTGTATATCTTCTGGTCAAATCACTTTCCATTACTCTTACTTTCTATATCAAACAAGAGAAATCCATGGTTCGTTCCCTTATCTTATCTGGGTTTTTTATTATATATATTACACGTTTTCTTGTTTTTGATTACATTATGTCTGGGTTTTTTATGTTCTTCAGGATCTTGAAAACGAAACTGTTCGATATGAAGAGGTTAGTAGTGATCATACATATATATATATATATATATATATATATATATATATACCAGTTTCAGAATGATAATCACAAGTGTTGATATTCGAACTTTACCTTATCTTAAATGATATTGTATGTATAAAATATATTAAATTTCGAATTCTTCGATTTTATTATAATAAACAGTTCATGAAGCTAACAATGATATATTTTTTTTGTTACTTCGTAGCTATTAACTGAGATAAACATTGAACAGAAGAAGCTTGTTAACACCTTGTTTCACAACTTTAACTGTTGCATAACCATTTGCACCGGCATATTTCCCGGTGCCACCAATGACAGCGATGTGAGACTCCGCCGCATCTCTCCGGTGTAACCCGAAAAACCGTAACCCGTCTTTAAACCCGCCGTCCGCGAAAACCGTAGCCATCGCCATCATAGAACCAGCATCACCTTCGGAACTTGCAACGTACACCCCTTGTGCTTTTCCTAGTGGTGAACCATCAACCGAAGCACCCTCGAATAACGTCTCGTCAATGGTCACCACCGCGCCAAATTCCAGCTCCTGAAGAGTAGCCCTGGCAGGGAAATACAACCCGAGGTTCGGAACATCGAGCGTTCGAGTCGACGGAATTTTCGGGTCTGGTCCGGGGATCGGGATGCCTTTATTAGGTGGGAAAAGGCCTACCGGCTTTGAGAATGGGAGTTGGCTTGTGAGTTGCGGAGATGGAGGTCGAGAAATGTTGAGCAAATCCGGCATGGAAAACGAGATCTTGTGGCGTTTATGGTGACGGTGATGATGATTCGACGATGGGTTTTCGAGATTTCGAGCCGAGGACGAGTTCTTGACTATGGTGATGATGAAGATTAAGGTTAACAAGTATGGAAGATTGGCCATTGAATGATGGATTAATGGGTACCTTTTGTAATTTAAAGTGACCAAATATTTGCTTCATTTATACAAGTACGTGGGGAGGTTGGAATTTGCTTTTTGTTTTGGTTTAGTTTGGGAGTAGTTAACAATAAGGTGCCCATAGGTCTCATCAAATCCACTCTCTCTATTATTTTATTATATATATATATTAGGTCAGACCAAATAAGGGTTTTATCTAAAAATTTGAGTCGAATAAGATTTTTTAAGTTTAAATCAAATCGAGTGACAAGCGGAAAAATATTATATTCGACTAAGATTTAGATGAGTCAAAAACTCAATCCGACATGACTCATATTATCCTTAATCCTATCATTAGGGTTAGGTTTTATAACCAAAACACCTCTCAAGAAAAAAGGGTTTGAACTACTTCATATCATCAAATCCACTTTCATATATATAGAGAGAGAGGCAAGTAAAGATCTCTCATTCCATCCATCAACTGGTCTTCTTCTTTGCTAAAACAATCTTAAAAATGGCTAAATCTCCAGTGCTCACCTGCAAATCTTTCAAGGTCTTTTTCTATCTACTATTACTGGCTGTCACCTTCACTTGTGCTAATTCAAAAAGAGTCCTTGATGAGGTCAAAGAACAACCGCAAGTTGTCGACGACATAGCTCAGCCGGCTGGTCAAGCGGTCCCTGCCGCCACCCCAAGCGGTCCGGATGACGACGTTGTCCACCGCTCCCCGAAGTTCCTGCTGCAGTGGCCGCCCCCGATGACAATGAGGCACCAGTAGCTACTCCTGCAGAACCGATAGCCGGCCCCGGTGCGGCGACCGCGGCTGCGACAAGTGCCACAACCGGAAACCCCGGGACACATGAACCTACACTGTCCTTTTTCATGCATGACATCCTAGGTGGATCACATCCATCGGCCAGGGTGGTGACCGGTGTGATCGCGAACTCGGAGATCAACGGCATACCATTCTCCAAAACCAACAACGACCTTTTCCCGGTACAAGGCGCCGCCCCACTTCTAACCGGCGTGAACGTTAACAACATCAACAGCTTCAACAACCTTATTAACCCCAACAACGTGCCTTTCCTAACAGGCCTAACCGGTGCAAACCAACGCTGTCCTACAAAACACCGGCAACAACGACAACGTTCTCAACTCCGGCAGCCAACCTTTCGTCACCGCCGGACAGCTCCCACCCGGCACTCTCCAGAGGCTCATGTTCGGTACCATAACCGTGATCGACGATGAATTAACCGAAGCACACGAGTTAGGGTCATCTGTGCTAGGCAGGGCACAAGGGTTCTATTTGGCTAGCTCATTGGATAGTAACAGCCAAACCATTGCCCTGACAGTCATTTTGCATGGAGGTGAACATGGTCACAGCGAAATCGAGGACACCATTAGTTTCTTCGGTACATCGGACGGTGTCGCCGGAATCGCAGATTGCGGTGGTCGGTGGAACCGGGAAGTACGAGCACGCGAAAGGGTACGCCACGGTCGAGACACTTCTTCACCAGGAGGATCAACACATAACCGATGGTGTGGATACAATCCTGCATTTCGATGTTTACCTGACGATCACCGAGTGATGTCGGCCTTTCGGCGGATCAGCGGTGGTTCATCGTTTCAACTCTGTAGCATATTATCGTGTGACGTGTGTTTCATATGTTTTTCAAGCATTTGGTACTGAAAATTTAATGGAAATGTCCAAGGTTTACTTATATAAATAGTAAAATTATGTTCTTATAGTATTCCTATAATTTGAACCTATTGAATGCATTACTTAATTGTTAGTTTCGTCATATGAGACCATTTTTATCAAATCATCATTTGTTTGTTATCATCGATGAGACTATACCATCGTCTAAATCAAATTCGAATACCTGAACTTTGTCACTATCACAATCTTGCAAACAAATAGCGTTAACCTTGCCACTATAAAGATTCCTACCAACCAAACAGGCCACGCTGCAGCTGCACTTACAAGCTTGAGACCTAACAACAGCTGCTACGTCATCGCCAAACCTTGAAAAAAAATCCAATCTGCAAAATCTGGCTTTAGCAAGGATGACAGCCATGGCATTCGATCTTCTTGAAACAAAGGCCCCGAGGCATGACAAAGAACAATAAAAACGAGCTTCCTGAGTGAAGTAACGCTTCTGCAAAGCTCTTCACCCAACGCCTTTGTCAAGTTCTTTTTTCTTTTATATTTTAATAGTTCTGTCTCTCTTCTTCTTCTTCTCTGCGGAAATGGATTTGTCCTGGAAAGCTCGAAGAGAATCGAATCTTCTCCCCTGGCCGATTTTGAAGTATTTAGAGTTTCAGGAATCTTCAATCTGGTAAACTTGCCGTTGATGCACTTCGACTCATCTCCATCTCCTGTGATAATACACCCTTCTCTAAGTTCTTTACCCCAACATTATAAAGTTCATCCACTCGTTCAACCCAATTTTCCGAGAATATTTCCTTCAAATACGACCATTGAAGATCCTCTAAGAACAGATAAAGGTCTTCATCGTCTATAGTTGATATAAATGTCTTATCTGCAATTCTCTGAACCTTTATTTCCCCTAGACCCCACTTATGTAGCCTATCTTCTATGCTAGAAGCACTGCAAACTGACCTCATGGTTCCTACCAGGCGCCACCTCAATGACCAAACATCTTCCTGTTCAAAGTGGCCAAGAATCCTTTTGTTTTCAAAGCCCGCCTGCTTGAGTTTTCCCCACTCTTATTCTCAGCTACCTCTATCCTTGCAACCTCTGGCACTGGTTTCTTCCCTGTCGAGGCTCTTGAGACATGCTTCGCAAATGACACCGATATTATGTAGTTATTTATCTTCTTCACCCATTCAATCTCTCGACCATTCTTTCGGCTTCCATCCCACAATCCGTTCTTACGAAAATGAATCTCGTCCCTCTTCTACTTCTTTTGTTTGCAATGAATACACTCAAGACTTTGTCTTGTCTTTCAAACACCTGCCAAAGTCCCTTCCAATGTGGTTTCGGTGGGAGGTTATCAACGAACATAGAAACTACCTTAACTCCCGATGTACCCATTCTGTATTGATACAGTGTTGAAGTTTGCGGAGTTGGATTTCAACCTAGTACGAGTACATCTTACCTTGGTAATTCCTTCAGCAGAACCCCGCCAAGACTGGTGCCGCCTTGTTAGCAGCATTGTTTAGCCCGGACCTCAGCCTACGGATATCCCGAAAGTTATTGTGAATGGAGGTTCTTGCTTGGAGCATCACGGCTGGCAAGGTATTGCCATTTCATTTCATCTTAACATGTGGAATGACTATAAAATGATAACATACTAAAATTTTATTTTTGAGTGATAATGAGTAATCTAATTAAACTATAGTTAAAATCGATTTAACCGACTGAATTAATTTTTTTTTTATAATGTCAGTTAATTTTAAGTTCTGTCAGTTAACGATTAACGATTTTTTCAAACTTCGATTATCGATTTAACCTAATTAACTTATTGAATTAATCGAATTAGCTAAAAATATAAAATATATATTATATATTATTTATAAATTTCTATTAACTCAGTTAACCGAACTTTGTTTGGTTCGGTTAATTATTTTTAAAAAAAAATTAGTTTGATTAATGGCTAAAAGAAGAAGAAAAAATCAGTTAATAAAATTTTAGAAATTTGATTTGATCGGTTAACCGAGCCAACCGATTGAAAACCACTATTAAAATAATAACATACTAAAACTTTAAATATCTTAAATAATAACGGAATAAACATTATAGAAATATCTTTCGAAGATAATAACATGCAAGGTAATATGTTCGAAGATAATTCTCAACTATTTGATATTGAACGCTCACATTCATGGTATTCCTGGTGCTCGAACCAGGGACCCCAAGGAATAATTATTCCTTTACTATCGAAGCCGTTTGATTCGTGCGTTCTCTATAAATTTAAAAAAAATTGTTCTTGAAATGGATTAATAAAAGGGTAAATTACACGGTTAGTACTTTAATTATCAATTTTGATTCGTTTAGTACCTAATTTTTTAATTATTTTCAAAATTATACCTAAAGTTTAGTTTTTGTTTCATTTTAGTACTCTACCGCTAAAAACTTCCAGTTTTTGTTTCATTTTAGTATCATGTTCAAAATTTAACGTTAAGTTTTGAAAGAATCAAAGTTTAGGTACTTGATACTTAACTCAAAAATCTCGCAAGCAACTCTAAAAAAAATAATATATTAAAATTTTATTTTTAAACATTTATGTGTTGATTTTTTTAAAAAATACAGTATAAGATTTTCATGTACTGAAGGTTTTGGTTCGAGTTTGAATTATAACCAAATTAAGTTTAAGATTTTTTTTATTTCGAGTTTCAATTCATGGTTTCCAGTTCGAGTGGAGCTTGAAAATTTTAGGCTTGTGAGTTTTCAAACCGAGTTGGGTTTCTTTTTAGAGTTTTCGAGTCGAGCCAAGCTCAATAATACTCGAGTTCAACTTAGACCCTTGTTATAGCTATGTGCTTAAGAACACTGAAGAAATGAGTTCATACCAACTTTTTTTTTTCTTGAAATTTCTATATATTTATATTTTCAAACGCAATTGTTCATTTTTGAATACGAGACAAGCAGATTGTTGATTTTTCCATTGATTTTCATATTCATGATGGTACAACTTTTCAAATATTTAAATCACACCAAATTACAGGCACCTTCACTTAATCACACTAAATCATAGGTATCTTCGTCTCTAATAGGTAATATAAACAGTGAACTCTAGCACAGTCTCAAGCCATCGGTCTCCGTCTGATTATTACTCGCCGGTAATGTCTTCACGATGGCGAAACCTCTAGCGTTGACATATTTTCCAGTGCCCCCCATGATAGACAAATGCGACTCCGATACGCCGGTCCGATGAACCCCGAAGAAGCTAAGCGTGTCAGCGTAGTGTCCGTCTGGAACATGGCCGTAAACGCCATCGTTTGACTTGTTCCATCGACCGAACTAGCCACATAGAACCCTTGTGCCTTGCCAAGAAACTCTGAGCCTAGCTCGTGTCCTGCTGTGAGTTCATCGTCGATGACGGTCATGGTCCCGAACATGAGCTTTTGGAGTGCAGATCCTGCAGGGACTTGGCCACCAACTAAGGCCGGGAATCCCCCGTTGTTGTTGTTGTTGCCGGCGTTTTGCAGCATGGCTTGAGTGTTGCCACCGAGGCCAGAAAGCAATGGGACGTTATTGTTGTTTAGAAGGCCGTTATTCCCACTGTTTTGGTTTATTCCATTGTTCACTGGGAGGTTTGCACCATTTGGTTTGGCAAATGGAAGTTGACCATTGAGTGCCGGGTTGCTGACCGCGCCGGTGACAGCTAGAGCGGACGGGTTCGATCCGCCGAGGATGTCATGCATGAAGAAGGTCAGGGTGTGGTCAGGGTCAAGCACAGGTTGGCAACATTGGGTCCCGTCGGAATCGGACCCGTGTTTGCTCCCAGACCAGGGTTCGCAACATTGGCTCCTGTGGGAATCGGACCTGTGGTAGCACCCACACCAGGGTTGGCAACATTAGCTCCTGTGGGAATGGGACCTGTGGTAGCACCCCACCAGGGTTGGCAACAGCAGCCCCTGATGGATTGGAACCAGTGGTTTCAGCCACACTAGGATTAGACTTTGTGCCCACTGAGGTGGTAGTCAACGGTGGTACCATGACCGGATTCGCCGATGGATCCGAGGGTTGCTCGTCGAGCATTCTTGCTGAAGTGGAATGCAATTGTGAGGGAAAGAAGAATAGAATGAGTTTGTAGGTTTCCATATCTACAAAATTCAGGATGATTTGCTTCAGTATTTTTTTTTCTTAATGGATTGAAAGATATGCAAGTGTGTGTGTATATATATATGTATGCATACATACATGTATATATAGGTCATGTAATGGAGTTGTTGAAGTGTCTATAATCTCAACAAAAACATTAGATACAGAAAGTGGAGTTGTCCATATGGATCAGGTCAGCTAAAAGTGGTTAACCATATTCATTTACATGTAGCAAAATTGCAGAATATAATTCTTTTTCTTGCAGAGTTCTTCACAGTCATCAATGGCGGTCCACAAATATTTCTTTTCTTGAGTTTTCACACCAATGCAAAGAATGAATCAATACACTAACACGACTGACATAGACCAAAAATTTTCCTACATACATCTCTCTCACTTTCTCAATGACATGAAAATGCGACATTCGAATGTGAAAAATCGAAAAAAAGAAAAGAAAAAAACACCCTCGCTTTTGGTTTTGATGATGCATGTAAAAATGTGTCAAAACCATGTTTTGAAAAAACCAAATCTATATGGATAACAAAGTGACAATCTCTGCTGCTAGTTCATCAATCAATGTATTCTCTATTTCTCTACCGATTGCTTCGATATCATATCCTAGGGATAACCATTCATCGTCTTTTCCGAAAACTTTCTCCGACGATTCCTTTTCTTCTTCATCTTTGGCCTCATTTTCTCGGCTAACCAACAACTTGTAAAGCTCTTCCACAATTTCTCTCGAGTTCTGCGAATAGCTGAGCCTTCTTGCAACAGGTTTTGCCCACATGAGGACTCCTAACAGAATTTTCCATTAGACCTGAATTTATGCGGTCGAAAAGTAGCCTCCTATCCGGGCTCTTCCAAGATATCTGTTCACCGTACTTCTTCTCTAGTGTCTCGAACACCGACGGGCTTATCTGAGTTTCTAGAGATTGACATCCGTTAAAGATTATATCCAGGTTTCTATAATGAAAACCTGCCTCGGTTAAGACATCGACCAAATAGAAGAAATCCCTACTCACTGCAACTCCAAACAACTTTGTTGAATATTCATTTCCTTTATCCTTAAAAGGCTCGTCTACTGCATCATTTTCATCATCGCTTGAAACAACCATTCCCGGTCCTTCAGAGTATTCTTCACTTGACTCCGATTTTATAAATTCGAGTTTCCGCTTCACGTCTGATAGCAAACGAGAACAAAAAAGTTAAAATAGAAAAATGAGGGGCAAAGAATCAAAACGTTCAAGGAATCCTTCTGTTTTACTAACCATTTAAGCTATCGGTGACACTCAAAAAGCACTTATAGCTCAATGAATTCTCTTCTAAGAATGGTGTTTCCAAAACCGATACCGGACTGGGCTGATTAGCTGTCTGCAAGGTCGCCAGAAAGTCAGGGTCTGTCATTGATATATCTTCCTGCAAACATTACGGTGAAACCCAAAAAGAGTTACTAAAAGTTAGACGCATCGACCGCAAGATACAGTGCACATGTAATGCACACATCGACTGTATTTGCACATCCACATTTTGACTGTATAAAGTAAATTACAAGATTTTATACTAAATTTATAATGCAGATTGATTACTATACCTAAAAAATTAATACTAGTTTTGTTAATCCTATCAAACTAATTGGATACTTAAACAACATCGAACCTGTTGACTCCAAGCATCGGGGATACAAAAGAAATTATGGTGTTTCTCCAACATAGTACAGTCTGTCGATACAAACTGGTGCTGGTTATAATTTCCAGTAGACTTGGCAGCAGCATCCGAGGTTTCTACAGAAACCACCATATCAGAGACAATGCTTGAGGTCCAGCCGAGTACATCTCAGGTACCACACAATCCTCGGAAGACATCTTCCTATCCATGAAGTCATTCCATTGATCAACTGGAATAATACGTTTTCAGAGAACATGGAATTTTCTTCTGGCAAGTGGTTTTTTTTGATTCCAATGATTCTTTTCCAATTCTAGGTCTGGACTGGATTGAGACTGCTTGCAGTCGGGTCGCAAGTTTCTTTGTTTCGAACAATATTTCCCACTGGGAACCTGCTTAACTGACTTCCTTATAGACCAAGGAAACACCGACCTAGTAGTCAAACACGAATCAACATGAAATGCTTTGGGAGTAGTCTTGGTTAGAGTACTTTCAACAGATGTAGAATATGATTGTGATTTCAAGTCTCCAATGACATTGTTTTTCCAGCCATGTTTACTGCTAATGCCAAAAGGACCACGAAAGTTAGCACGTTTAGCATGATCGGGCAATGCAAGCATTTCACCAAGTGATCTGCTTCTGCCCCTACCCCCAAAAGCAAGTCCAATCTCCCGAAAGTCTTCACTCACCCTCCATCTTTCAAAGATCTGTTGCTTTGGTTCAAGACCCACATGTGATCCGCCTAAGTCGTAACATGAGGGCTTGTCCCAGTTGTTCACATCAGAGTTATTTCGGGAAGAAAACATCAGGAACTCTGGCTCTTTTGTAAGACCTTGAGCACCACTGAATCCTAACCTTGGCGGCTCAAAAGAAGTTTCAGAGGAAGGGATAGATCTACGCGTGGAGGATTTTACACCATTGAAAAGTTCTTAACTCGAGCATGCGAATTTCCTTTTCCGTGACCAAGGAACCCTTTGTGTTTACTATCGGTCTCAGCCTCTATAGGCTTTGGTTTCAAAATGACAATTTTTCTAGAGGAAGGACATCTTTCATTGTTTGATTCCAGATGAAATCTAGGAACAGCAGAAGTACTATCATGCCCGAATTCCCTTCGAGAATCTTTTACGAAGCCATTCTCGAGTGTCTGAAGCACCTTAGGATTTTCTTGATCATAGAAATGCTTGACGATCAGATAATCTGGTTTCCCGAAACCATTTTCAGAACAACCCTTTCTAGAATCCACAAATCCTGACCCTTTGACATGCTTTCGTTCCGGAGACGATCTTAAGTCTACACTTCCCTTTTCTATCTCTACTGATTCTATTACTTCAAACGCATCGTCGAACCCCTTTGTCTCTTCAACGCCGAACCGAAACGAACTGCGCTCACCGGAAGAGCGCTTCTCCCAAGCACCTATCGAAGCAGCTTTTCGCAGATAATTCTCTGAGAGCACTCTTTGAAGCTTTCTCTGCTTATTGACAGGTTGCTGAGATTGGAGTTGATCAAGTCCCATGAACCTTGCAATCACACTCGACGTAGCCGATTTAGATTCCGTTTTTCTCGACATCTCCTCTACACAAAGCAATTACTCCCTCAGTTCAATTGCATTCTCAAATGCAAAAGAGCATCAGCAATCGGAATCAAAGAAACAAAAAGAATAAACAACTAATCGAAACAACAATCAATTAGAAACACTCTTTTTCTTCCAATTAAATAAACTAAAGTTTTCAGCAATTTAATAAGAAAAAAACAAAAGATTAAAGCAGCAAGAATTCATTAAGCACTCATATGAGCATCTGATAAAGCCAAAAAGAGAAAAATGGGAAAAAATTTATAGAAAACTCATAAATGGAAACAAAGTGCAAAAGCAATAACTATCTAAGAAACAAATCATTGAAAAAACAACCTTTCTTTTCAAAGTAAATTAGAAACATAGCATGAGGGGGGGGGGAAGCTCAACCCCATTATTCCAAAAAGGGGATTCTTTTAATATTCAATTAAACCAATTAATCCAAATCGAATACTAATCTAATCCAGTTTTCTACCTCCATAAAGGCAATATCCCAGCTTTGTTCTTGCTTAAAGACCTAATTACTCAACAATTCTAATCAAAATTCATGAAGTAACAAGAAAGGAAACTTCCATAAAAATAAACCAATTTAATCCTGGTGTCATCAAGTAACAAGACCCAACTTCAACAAAAGCAAACAGTTAAAGTTTACCACAAAAAGGAAGGAATAAAAACCCAGAAAATGAAAACCAAGAAAATGAAATCCCAGAAAAAGAAGGGAAGAAAATAGGAAGAAAGATCTGAGTCTGACTTTAGGGTTTAGATGCTCAAGCCCATCAGAATCATTTTCAGCTCACACTGATTGATAATTACAATTTTAAAAGAATAAAGGTTTTAAAATAAGGGATCAAATGATATTTGTCTTGCTTATAATTCACGAAACAAAAGACAAGCCGACATGTAGAACAAGTTGGTAGGTCAAACCCTTTTTAATACAAAAAAGAATCAAATTTTACACCAAAAAAGAAGAAGAAAAGAAGAAGTTCTGGGAAATGGGTTTTTAGAGATGAAATGGAAGATCGAAAGAGATGAAGAAATGGAGGATTGGATTTGGAAGAAGAGGTAATGAATTTGATGAAATTGAAGAAATGGGTATTTGTAGTTTGTAGGGACATAGCTTTCGCGTTCTTGTTGTCTTTTCGTTGCTACCCGCAAATGAACTGTTGATAGGCGGGTTTCCCGCCACCAAAAGAATTGTCTTTTCTTCACTTTTTATTAATAAAAATTTTATTTTTATTTTTATTGTTTTTATAAATTATTAGTTTTATAAATGAGTTTTATTATTATTATTATTATTATTATTATTATTATGCTTGATCCGAAAAAAAAACGAAAGTCTAAAATAGATTTTAATATAAGATTAAAAATCAACGAAAATATAATAAGATTGAAATGTGATAAAAAAATTATAATTTTTAAATTAAAATATACATTTTAATTTAAGACTAAAAATCAACGAAAATATAATAAGATTGAAATGTTAAATTAAATTTTTTAACGGCGGCTATTAAAATAAAACAAAAATTTGACTTTAATTATGGTTTTGAATAGAAAATTTAGATATTAAACGATTAAAATTAATAATTTATGTACTAACACGTCATTTACCCAAAAGTTATATATGTAATATCTTTTGTATCTTTACAAGCTATATACTAAACAACCTTGAAGGTCGTCAAATAACTGTTTATCTGTCAAATTTTCTCAATATATTTGTTAACATTATTCATAAACATATTTTACGTTATTACATATATAATAATATAATGTATTATATTAGATAAACATATATAAATTTAGGATATATCATTAATAAAATATATATTCGAAAAAATTTAATTTTAAGATAAATAATACATGCTATGTTCAGTAAATTTCCTCAAATAATGTGCTAAGAAAAAATAATTTATATGGAACGGAGAAAAATTATTTTCTTGACTAAGGTGGAATTGCACGAACCAAATAATCTTATTGGTAGAGGAATTGTTGTTATTCCTTGAGGTCTTGAGCTCGAACACTAGAAGTGATCATTCAATACCAATGGTACATGAGGAAAACGACAGGACCGTCAGATGTCTTTGGGAAGACGTTTGGAAGACACGATATCTTATGAGTTGATACTCTTAATATGTTCAAATTATATGTAGTTTAAAAAAGACGTATGTCTTCCGGACGTTCAAATAATTTAGTCCGTTTTCATGCAATATTCATCCTATCTCAGTTGAGAAATAATTTATCTAATATTTTTCTAAGAACCAAATGGATCTAAAAGAATTTACTGAGCAAATCAAGCACCTAAGGTAAAATTTAATCTCAATGTTACGAATATAATATGTTAAATTAAAAATTTTTTCCATAATATATTTCTATATTATTTAATTTAATTATTAAAAATATTTCAAAAAATTTTTTTCTTTTCTACTTTGATTATTAACATTTCAATTTTGTTAATCAAACCATTTAATTATATAAATACTTTAATCAAATTATTTGTGTTAATATCTTTTTAAGTTCTCCTCTCGATTCTAATGTTTTGTCCTGACTAATCAGAACTGACCCGCGTCACACCCCTGATTTTGGTGAATGAGTCTCCTAACAGAAATTTTCTACATACACAATAACTCAGACCAAGATCTTAATTAAGTGATATCAAGTGACTTATCACTTAAACTAACCCTTATTGATTATTTATCGTTAATATTTAAGGAAGAAGACAAAAATATTTTAAATTTGGTAACTAAAATTAAATAAACTGAAAATATAAGATACCACCCATATAATTTACCCAAGAATCTATGAAAAGTCAGAGAAGCTTTGGAAAGACAGAAAATACCATTGTTGGGTGTAAATCCAAATGAAAAATAACATGGACAATGACCCTTTCATTGGCATGTATCATTAGGTCCACGTTGCCCAAAACTTTGGGAAATTTGAATTTATTATAATTTGCCATGCAATTTACAATCAAAACCATACCTGCTCTCTTCCTTCTCTCTAAGGTTCACTCTTTGATTGTTTCTTTCTCAAGAAAGAAATGGCTTTGGAGATCTGTTAAGGCTGCTTCTGGTGCCCTGATGTTCTTGGAGACTGTATGCTCTCTTTCTCTATCATCATCTTGTAAAAGAAGTATCCTTTTTTTCATTTTTTTGGGTGATTTTGATTCTGGGTTTTTGAGTTTGATTTTGTATTATGTTTCCAGGTCCTTTCTGCCAAAGGGTTCTCCTTACTTTGGAGGAAAAGAAGGTTCCTTACAAGTTGCACCTTGTCTATCTCAGTGACAAACCCCAATGGTATATTGTTTGGACTTGAAGTTGTTGCCGTAAATTTGTGGTTATTTACTTATTACAGTAATTTGTGGGGGGGGGGTTCATTTGGTTTAATAGGTTTTTGGAGATAAGTCCAGAAGGAAAAGTACCAGTGGTGAAGTTTGATGACAAATGGGTGGCTGATTCTGATGTGATTGCTGGAATTCTTGAAGAGAAGTTCCCTGAGCCTTCTCTCAAAACACCACCTGAATTGCCCCTGTGTATGCTGCTTCTCACCTTATATCTCTTTAATTCCATCAATGATTATCCCTTTGAGTACTGTGTGCTTTGATTTGTCGATGGGAATCAGTTTCGCTTGTCTGCCGTTGGCGATTCACCCCTTTTAATTTGGGTGGAGAATCGCCGACGATGATAAGAACATAATTGGGATTGCAGGAAGCCAGCCTGCTTTCCATTCTCGGTTGTGGTATTTATAATGATCTTTAATGTGTGTCAGTCGTAGTATCGTGAGGGCTTACTTATAGGTTGATTAGTCCGGGAAAATCTGGCGGTCAGACTTTGAATTTTATATCGATAGGCCTTTTAGACCTGTTAGAGATCTTGTCTGAAGGTCTTATTCGCACGTTGTAGCTGAAGGTCTTGTCCTTTATTGTATATAGGATTGAATTGTTTCTTTGAAAAAATATGGACACCATTTTGTTCTTGAGATCCCTGAACCGATTATTGATCTTTATTCGCTTTTTCGAGGCAGCGGCTCGAAAATATTCGGAGCTTTCGTCACGTTTTTGAAGAGCAAGGATGCAGACGATGGATCAGAGCAGGCTCTGGTTAATGAACTGAAGGCATTGGATGAACATCTTAAGGGACGTGTGAGGATAAATTTGTCGTACCTCTTACCGCAAGTTTTCCTAATTTTTCGAACTATATGAAGCAGGGACCATTCATTGCCGGCGACAAGATTACCGCTGTCGATTTAGCTTTGGGACCGAAGCTCTACCATCTTCAGATCGCTCTCGGCCATTTCAAGAAGTGGACTGTTCCCGAAAGCTTGACTGCCGTCCACAAATACATGAAGGTATGTGAAGATAGTCGTTTTTTTTTTCATTTGAATATTATTTATATTTTATTATTATTATTATTATTACTAAATAATTTTAATTACAAATAGGCCCAATACCCGAGGCCCACTTAAAACCAAACCCGGAGCCCAAGGGAAACCCTAAATTGATTAGGGTTTATATCCCCAACCGTCGCTCCTCTTCTCAGTCGTTGGATCTAACCTTGATCCAACGGCCCACATCCTGCTAGATGAAACCCTAGGGTATCATAACCCTAGGGACACTCGGCTGCCGCTCCATGTTGTCGTCGCTCCACGTTGCTGATGCTGCTGCCACGACGTCCACCAAAGGCTTCCAGAAGAGTCCTTCCAGCCGCACACGTCGCTCAACAGTGAGTCACCACTGGAAGTCTGGTGACTCACCAAACTTGCACCCTATTAACTGGTCCGAGAGCCACACCATCGATGGCTATAAAAGCCATCGACCACCTACAAACAAAAGGAACGAACAGAGAGCAGAAAACCACCACGAACAGAGGCGAAAGATCCAAACACAAGCCAAATACCACACCAACACAACAACCATTCAAAAGAAAACAAGAGAAGGGAGAGAAACTTACCACATCCGTCGGAGCCCTCCAAATCGCCGTCGAACCGAAATACCGAAGGTATTTCCTTAATCTAGGAAATATTGGAGGGTC